GAAGGGAAGGGAAGGGAAGGGAAGGGAAGGGAAGGGAAGGGAAGGGAAGGGAAGGGAAGGGAAGAGAAGAGAAGAGAAGAGAAGAGAAGAGAATTCAATTCTTTATTGGCCAAGTGTGATAGGACACACAAGGAATTTGTCTTGGTGCAAATGCTCTCAGTGTCCATAAAAGAAAAGATACATTCATCAGGAGTCAAGAATCATCAGGTACAAACACTTACTAATAGTCATAGGGTACAAGAAGCCATCAAATCATACTAGGAAACAGTCCATATAAATCGTGAGGATACAAGCGACAAAGTTACAGTCCTACAGTCACAAGTGGGAAGGGATGGGTGATAAGGAGTGATGAAAAGGTTAATAGTGATAGTAGTGCAGACTTTGTAAATAGTTGAACAGTGTTGAGGGAATTATTTCTTTAGCAGAGGGATGGCATTTCGGGGGGAAAAACTCCCCTTGTGTCTAGTTGTTGTGGTGTGCAGGGCTCTATAGCGTCGTTTTGAGGGAAGGAGTTGAAACAGTTTGTATCTGTTGAAGGAGTTGAAACAGTTTGGGATGTGAGGGGTCTGTAGATATTTTCACAGCCCTCTTTTTGACTCGTGCAGTATACAGGTCCTCCATGGAAGGCAGGTTGGTAGTAATTACTTTTTCTGCAGTCCTAACTACCCTCTGAAGTCTGTGTCTGTCCTGCTGGGTTGCAAACCAGACAGTGATAGAGGTGCAGATGACAGACTCCATCATTCCTCTATAGAGGAATAAGTCTCATTTTTTACGACCATTGCCACTTCAAACGGTCCCTACAAAAATTACTGTAAGTCAAGGACTAACCTGTGTGAATAAATCATACAAATATAAATATTTTCTTCTCGTCGCTTAGGGCCCTTGCCGAAAAGCATCCTCCGTTCCAATACAGTGCCGAAATCGGCCTCAACACCTACGTGTCGATACACCTCCCCTTCTTTCCTGGGGCCGAGCAGCGCAGGACACGGACCGTGGCTCGCTCCTTCTGCCCCACCTTCGAGCATCACGTGGAGCTGCCCTGCCGCCTCGTGGTTCAGAGGAGCAGCGGGGAAGCCTGCTGCCTTGGGGAACTCTTGCAGCGGTCGGAGGTCGTCTTCCACCTCTACCACCAGCCCCTGAACTCAGGTGCCACAAATGAACGGGGCCCGCTTGTCAAACTGCACAACTACCCCTAAAGGCTGGCGGGGAGGGGTGCATGGCTTCATCGATGCATCTTCGGTTGTGAACGTTGTGGTGCTTTTGCAAAACAACTTCCCTTCACCTGATTGAGATATTCCTGTTCTGCTCTGTTCTGTTCTCTACTATTCTATTCTATGTATTTCTATTCTATATTTCTATTCTATATTCCTGTTCTCTCTTCTCTTCTCTTCTCTTCTAATTCTTATTTCTATTCTATTCTATTCCCTCTTAATTCTATTCTATTCTATTCTATTCTATTCTATTCCATTCCATTCCATTCCATTCCATTCTCTCCTATTGTATTCTATTGTATTCTATTCTCTATTCCTAATTCTTATTTCTATTCTATTCTATTCCCTCTTCATTCTATTCTATTCTATTCTATTCTATTCTATTCTATTCTATTCTATTCTATTCCGCATTCCTGTTCTGTTCTATTCTATTTCTATTCTGTATTCCTTTTCTATTCTATATTCCTGTTCTCTCTTCTCTTCTCTTCTATTTCTCTTCTATTCTCTATTCCTAATTCTTATTTTTATTCTATTCTATTCTATTCTATTCTATTCTATTCTATTCTATTCTATTCTATTCTGTTTCTATTCTATTCTATTCTATTCTATTCTATTCTATTCTGTATTCCTTTTCTATTCTATTTCCCTATTCCTGTTCTGTTCTCTGTTCTATTCTTCCTATTCTTTTCTATTCTATTCTCTACTCTGTTCTGTTCTCTCTTCTATACTCTAGTAAACTATACTATACTATACGAATGATTGTAAATCGAGGACTACCTGTAGTTGAACAGCTTAATTTTATGCTGACTAGTACAGATAGTCCTCAAGCTGCAACCATAACCACTGGCGCGGTGGTCAGAGTGCGGTACTGCAGGCTACGTCTGCTGACTGCCGGCTGATTGCAATTTGGCAGTTCAAATCTCACCAGGCTCAAGGTTGACTCAGCCTTCTGTCCTTCCAAGCTTGGTAAAATGAGGACCTAGATTGCTGGGGGCAAGAGGCTGACTCTGTAAACCACTTAGAGAGGGCTGTAAAAGCACTGGAATGGTATATAAGTCTAAGTGCTATTGCCCTTCCTTCCTTCCTTCTCCCTCCCTCCCTCCCTCTCTCCCTCCCTCCCTCCCTCCTTCCATGTTGGCACAGTGGTTGAGAATGTAGTACAGCAGGCTAACTCTGCCCACTGTCAGCAGTTCGATCCCAGCAGACTCCAGGTTGACTCAGCCTTCCATCCTTCTGAGGTGGGTAAAATGAGGACCCAGATTGTTGGGGGCAAATAGGCTGTAAACTGCTTAGAGAGGGCTGTGAAGCACTATAAAGTGGCATATAAGTCTAAGTGCTACTGCTATTGCTATAACCGAGCCTGCCAATTATGGCCAGAAATTGTGACAGTTGTAAAACGAATCCTCCTGTGACCCATGTCCATTTTACGACCTCCTTTTGCAGCAGGTCGTTTAAGCAAACAGGGCAGTCGTTCAGCCAGCTCCTTGTTTGCCATGGAGCATTTTTGCCCGAAGAACTAGAAATAAATGACGGTTTTTGGCGAAACCCTCATAAATCATGATCATGTGACTGCAAGACAGGCATAAATTGAGACCGGTTGCCAAACGCCCAAAATGCTGTCCCGACATTGTGGAATTCTGGGAGTTGAAGTCTTTAGCCAAGTTTGGAGACCCCTGCTCTAATATCAATACTTTCCAAGGGGATGAATTCCCATTATGATGATGGAAAGTTTAGATGACAACTATTATTTACTCTTGCAGCTCCAAGGGAAACGCTCAAAGATTGCTTGCTGGGAACCGTCCGAGTTCCTACCAGAGATCTGCTGATTCGGAGATCAGGTAAAGACACCACATTACACTATGGCCTCTACACACTTATCACAAGCCAGGTGCACAATTTGGAGCAGGGAGCATCTGTGGCCAGGAGGGTCTTTGCAGATGTTCACCTAATGCACCACGTGTGTCCTTCATTATTATTATTGTTTATTCAATTTGCATCCAGCCTTTAGGATTTTTAGAAATAACTGGGGGCAGCGAAAATCTTTCCTCCTCCTATTTCACCCACAACAACTACCCAGGAGGCGGGTTGGGTTGAGATGGAGGGACTGGGCCAAAGTCTCCCAGCCAGCTTTCATGCCTAAGGCAGGACTAGAACTCACAGTCACCTGGTGATTGGACCAAAGTCACCCAACCTGCTTTCACACCTAAGGTAGGACTAGAACTCCCCGTCTCCTGGTGATTGGCCCAAAGTCACCCAGCCAGCCGGCTTTCACACCTAAGGTAGGACTAGAACTCCCCGTCTCCTGGTGATTGGCCCAAAGTCACCCAGCCAGCTGGATTTCATGCCTAAGGCAGGACTAGAACTCACCATCTCCTGGTGATTGGTCCAAAGTGACCAAGCAGCTTTCATGCCTAAGGCAGGACTAGAACTCACCGTCTCCTGGTGATTGGCCCAAAGTCACCCAGCCGGCTTTCATGCCTAAGGCAGGACTAGAACTCACCGTCTCCTACTCTCGCCTGGTACCTCAACCACTAGACCAAGCTTGCTCCCTTTTCTGAATTGGGAGGCCCTTTGAATATTTACTCACACCCTGGTCACCTCATGTCTGGATTACTGCAATGCACTTTTCATGGGGGCCCCCCTTGAAGACTACCCAGAAGCTACCCCTGCCTTAAAATTCAGCGGTGCCAGCAGTAACAGCTACATGTCAGCATGCTTGTATGTCATCACTGCTGCCTGGAATGCCGGTCGGCTTCCAAGTGCAATTCAGGGAGCCGCTTATTGGCCTCTAAATCAGGGGTCTCCAAACTGGGCAACTTTAAGACTTGTGGGACTTCAATTCCCAGAGTTCCTCAGCCAGCTTTCATGGCTGATGAATTCTGGGAGTTGAAGTCCACAAGCCTTTAAAGTTGCCACGTACGGGGACCCCTGCTCTAAATTCTTTCAAGGGGCCTGGATATTCAAGAGACTGTTGGGAAATTGCCGGGCTGAAAAGAGGGATCAAACCAGGGCCTTTGCAAAATGAATGGTTTTTTTTTTTTTTTTTTTTTACAAAAAACTTCTCTTCTTTGTGTTTCCTCGCAGGTCTCAGAGGTTGGTACCCCGTCATTCTCCCAGAGGATCTCTTGGCCTCACGGTGTGCAAACGTCACGCAGAGCATCGTGGGAGGTTTGGAGATTTCGGTTGCCTTTGTTCGTCCCGGAGACCGAGAACGTGTCCTAGAGACTGGCAACCGTTTAGGGTGGAACTGGAAGGAAACCTACTCCGAGGATCCGTGGGAGGATAGCGAGAGTGAAAGCCAGGCCCCTCCGACACCGCTCCGTGTGTCTATTGCTACTCCTCGGCTGTGGCTGCCGCTACACAGCCTGTTCCTCGCGGGAGAAACACACTTAAATAAAAGCGTCTATTGCTACCTTCGCTATAAGCTCTACGATCAAGAAGCCGCTTGGACTTCACTTCGGAGGCCGAAATTAACCGAAGGTGAAAAACACGGGACTGTCGTGTTTAAGAAACCCAACCGAACGGAGCTCCGGTCTGCCCCAGCGTTATTCTGGTACCTCAGGGAAGAAAAACTGGAACTCCAGGTGTGGCGAGCTTACGGCAAAGATGGCGACGTGGAAAGACCGCTCGATACCGACCGCTTGATCGGATCAGCCTACGTGGACCTGGCACCGCTGGCGGAAAGCTCCCGAAAGAAGAAAACGGTCAGCGGTATGTTTATAAAGGTTTTAGAGACAGTCGCTAGCCTGATTTTCAGAAATTTAGGTAAATCCTCGGTTTACAGCCCCAAATGGGGAGTTTGGCCCCGTTTTCATGACCTTTCTTGGCACAGTGGTTAAGTGAATCGTGGCAGTTGTTAAGTCAGTCACATCACTGATAAGTGACTTCCCCACCGACTTTGCTGGTGAGCGGGCTGTCTCTGGAGATTCTAATAGTCAGAGTTGGAAGGGATCTTGTAGGTTATCGAGTCCAATGGTTGCCAGTCAGCGGGCCGGGGACCACTGGGGGGTCCATGAGAAAATGTTGGTGGTCCGCAGAGAAATGTCCCCCCCAAAGCAATTAATCCAGGCTGCGCGGGAACACAAGGCTGCACCGCCCACATGGCCTGCAGGAAGGCAAGGCTTGCATTGCTTGCATTGTGAACAACATGAGGTAGTGAGGGGAGGGGGGAAAGGGCGGAGGGGGGGAACTTGCCCCACTCACCCCACACGCCTGGCCTGGCCATCGAGCTGCTTCTTTCCGCTTATTCCTTCTGCTGCTTTTGGCTGCATGCAAGGAAAGCAGCCAAAGTCTTTCTTCCTCTTCCCCAAACTCCGCCAGAAATGAGTCTTTGGGGACCCTGCAAGGCCTCCTGCTCCAAAAGGCTGCGCCGGCAAAGACTCATTTCTGGTGGAGTTTGGGGGAGAGAAAGAAAGACTTCTGCTGCTTCTGCTGTTTTCCTTGCATGGAGCCAAAAGTCTCTCTCTCTCTCTCTCCCCCTGAAAACGGAGCTGGAGACGGTTTCCTGAGATCCCAAATAAAGAACGATCAATCGGTAGGAAAATGGGGTGGGGGATTTTCCTGCAGACTTTTGGGGGGATTTTCCCAGGGTCTCTGGTCCGTGGGATTTCAAAGTATGAGTTTGGTGGTCCCTGAGGTCCAAAAGGTTGGCGACCCCTGGACTAGTCCAACCCCCCGCCCAAGCAAGAGGCCCTACACCATTTCTGACAGATGGGAGTCCAGTCTCTTCTTGAAAACCTCCAGGGATGAAGCTCCCACAACCTCTGAAGGCAACTTCTGTTCCATCGGTGGATTGTTCTCTCACTGTCAGAAAGTTTCTCCTTATTTCCAGGTTGAATCTCTCCTTGATCAGTTTCCATCCATTATTCCTTGTCTGGCCTTCGGGTGCTTTAGAAAGTAGCTTGTTTTCAGCCATCCACATCATGGTTGTCCCAAAGGTGCTTTTTTTTTCCCCAAGAGGCAACTGGGCTTTCTGGTTTATCTTTTGAAGACGTTTCGCTTCTCATCTAAGAAGCTTCTTCAGCTCTGATTGGATGGGGAGGAAGAATTGATATTCCTTGCAGACAATTAGCCATTTGCATCCTTTTAGCGAGTCATTGAGGCCACCTGGAGGTTTATCTATGTCCTCAGTGTCACCTGAGTGGTGCAAATGGGCGTGAAGCCTTCTTGGAACTGCTGAAAGGACTGTGTTGTAGATTGGAGATAGGTGATGTTATATCCCTCCCCCTCTGTTGTGGGAGGGCTGCTCAATTTTGATCTAGATGGCCTCTTGGACCCCTCTTCTTTCAAACCAATGGTCCTCTCTGTCCAAAATGTGGGCAAATGTCTTCAAAAGAGTGTGGCCTTTGTCTTTTAAATGCAGATGGATGCTGAATCTTGTCCTGATGGGTTTGTGTTGTGCCATGCATTTGTGAAGTGGCTGTTTTGTTTCCCCAAAACACACAGATCTGCAGAGGGCGCGCTGCCTTGTATCGCATAGAGCACGTTGCTCAATTCGTGTCTGGGTATTTTGTCAAGCTTCTGCCTTAGGGTCTCCTTGTGAGAAGGTTGTGGCAAGACAGGTGGTCAGGTAGAGCAACGCTCCCTTTACAACTTCCTTTCTCAGCAGTGGAAATTTTGGGCTCAACGGTGGTCATAAGTTGAGGACTACCTGTAAAAGTTGGTTCAACCGAAGGGCGATTCTACAGCCCCTGGAGCCAACTTAGAAAACCTAGCAGCTTTTTCTCCAGAGGGGCGAGATCTGCATTTCGACCGAGCCTAAATTCCTCCCCTTGTTGCAGGTGTTTTCCCCTTGTTCCGACGCAATGCTGCCAACCTGGGGGGAGCCGCGCTGCGCGTTCACATCACGGTGACTCCTAGTCCATGTGGAGGGTCTGGGAACCATGAAGAGGACAAGGACAGCAGCAGCAGCAGCAGCGTTGCAGGAGAGAAGAAGGCAGCAGAGCAGGAGTCGGAAGTCCGCTCGGAAGCAGATCCTTCCGTCGACAAAGTGTCCCAGGACAAACCTGCGGCCTGTGATCTGGAGGACACATTCGCTGTGAGCATCCTCGTGGAAAGAGCCATGCACCTGTGCTTAAAAGGTAAGCCCGTGTCACCCGTGCCTCATGGAATGGAATGGAATGGAATGGAATTCTTTATTGGACAAGTGGGATTGGACACCCAAGGAACTTGTCTTTGGTGCAAATACTGTCAGTGCACATAAAAGAAAGAATATATTCGTCAAGAGTCAAGAATCATCAGGTACCATACTTAATAATAGTTATAGGGTAGAATAAGCCATCAAATCATAATAGAATAGAATAGAAATAAGAATTAGGAATAGAATAGAATAGAATAGAATAGAATAGAATAGAATAGAATAGA